TGCCTGTGAACGAAGACGGCTAATGTCAATGTTTCATCAATCAAAGCTTTACTCGTAGCGTAATTCAATAAAAGATGACCATGTGTCAACCTATTCCTTCTTTCTTTTTGTGCTGGATATGTATCGGTTCGTGCGCGAAAAACGCGAATCTGTTTTGTAAGCGATGCCGGTTACGGGTTCACTAATTTTTACCGCGCCTAGAATAACGTAAACGAGCGATACAGGTAAATAACGCTCTACGAGGTTCCGCCAAGGGCAACGTGTTAGTTTGCGTTGATTTTGGCAAATTCACCGAAGAAAAGAGAGAGAGAAAGAGTAGACCTATGGGTCGGCGGTGGTCAAGCAACTAGAATTGCTCAGTTCAGCAGCCATTTGAGTTTTCAAAAGGAGTGCTTTTTTGGGAAATGTCTGAATTTTCCTTAACATCTTAGATGCCGGCTTTCAGAACTCCATTTTAGTTAACTAGTGAGCATTACAATTACATTAAACTTTTAATAGCTGGTAGTTGAAGCACTAATCAGCGATAGTTGTGGATTTCGGCTACTTATCGTGATTCGAACGATAAAAAATCTGCCCAGTTAGCCAATATTCAAGTTGAATTGATTAACTTAATCATGTGCAAGTTCCATAATAGTTGGTTTTCCTTTTTAAGGAAATTGTTACGGCGCATTTCTTCTTACATTACTTCTTCTATGGTTTGCACAAAGAATACTTGCTAAGGAGATTTTTATATTTAGGGATGCGTTCAAAATACAAACGATTCACTTCGTCCAGAACGTATGCTGACTAATCGACTAATGCTCGCTTAACTGGGCACACCTATATCATGGCCATTGGACCAGTCTGGGCAACTGCTGATCGGTTTTTGAAGATAGTGACTGAGATTTGCTACGGAGATTCGATTTTAATATACATGATGCATATTTGTAAGTTATCGATTTTAAAAGCTCTGATAAAAGTTCTACTTAGGTGTTATTGTTAAAAACGTGTTCTTGTTTAACTCAAATATCGCCACTCTTACCCGAGCTGATCACTTTAATAACACACAGAGAGAAACAGAACACTGTAAAAAGTGGCAAAAAAAAAGTCCGCGATAAGAATGTTAATTATTTTTTTAATTAAACATTAAGTTAAACATATTTTTGCGAATATGTTTAACTATGATGAAAGTCGTCACAACGTATTGAATTTTCTTTGATATGGAATCGGCTCGTATTATTATTCAGCTTAGAAAGGTCTTCTAAGCTATTTTTTCATAAGCTCCTAAAAATTCCTTTTATAATAATCTAGAATAATCGTTAAGATACATTAGTAAAAATTAAAAATAAAATTATAATTTCTACTTTGAGGCCCCTCAGCGGTTATGACAACGACATTATACTTGGTCATACTTCACCATTTTAAAATTGTTTATCTCGTTTCCGTCCTTTGAAGTTGACGACAGGAGTCTTTTTTTACGTTTCTGGCATATTGCCGACAAGGTCATTTACACAGCCTTATGACCATCATTTTCTCCTTTTTTTTTTTTCAAATTGATAATGTCAATAGGGGCGTCCAAGGAATCAATGGATGGGGGAAGGGTGATCGTAAACGACCAACGAGCAAATGCGCATCCGATCCAGAACGCTCGCTACTTTTCCTTAGCACAGCTAGACATTCCCTTTCGCCTAGTTTTACTCTCAAGTAGTTCAGATTTCCATTCTAGGTCCTACCAGCTCCCATAGGGTCCATACAGACAAGCATAGATACGCAGAAAAGGCTGGCATCGCTAGACCTGATTGGCTCAAGACTCAGGGAGCATCTGCCGGAGTGAGCAATGAAGGGAAGCGATCTTGATTTTTCCTAGACGCGATTGGCAAAACTATCGATTTCCGTTGAGACACCCTGTAGTCATCACTCTAAGGCGACCAACCAATCGACAGCCGCCGTCGGCAACCGCTAGCAGTGTGGCGCTCCCTTTGCCGCAACTGTCGGAGTGCCTTCTACTCAGTCTACTGTTCCCTTTTCCGCAACTGTCGGAATGCCTTCTATTCGGTCTGCTGTTTGCCAGGAAGTCCGCCGCTGCTCGTTGTGTCTACGTAGAGTAAACGGCGGACGGAATTAGACGTCACTCTAAATCTACCTAGCCCTCTTTTTACCTCCTTCTCTTGCACTCTTTTCTTTGCTTACGATCTTGGTCTATAGCTTTGCTTCGTGCTTGGCAGTACAAGCCTTTTTTCCCAGCCAAGCAGAGGTCTTACCGTCCCTGTCTTTAGTGAATCCCTAGGGATCTCGAATAATTCTGGAGCTGGGAGGATCACTTTACTGCACCAGTCTGCGAGCTAGTCCGCCCTCCAGTCAGCCAACTTTTGCTTTCAAGTCGATAGTGGGTGCCGTCATAGGTTTCCTTCTTGTTCATACGCCAGCAGCGTATTCTTTTCCCTTCATAAGGTGCCCAACCCTGTCTCGCTTCCTTCTTTGTCTCAGTCGTGTGACAGTGCGATAGATATTATTCGATGCATTACCTCAACCCCCCCCCCCCCCCCACCCTAGCAGCCATTTCAACTACGGCACCTCCCATACGGCGTACTAGCGGAACTTGGAGCGTACGCCCAGTACACTTTGGCCCCTATTACCTCTGTCCACGTACATTGTCTTTTTTACGATATAGAAAATCCTATCGATTAACCTTCTTTACGCCACAACAAGAGCCAAACAAAAAGACAGAAAACGCCAAAGTTCACAATAAACCACAGCACTTTAGACCTTGTTTTATCTGCAGTTAGAAGCAGTACACCAACTACAACTAATACTCGAACACCTTCTCCCGTAATCCTGCTCATTTACCACACTTCTTATCCTACTAACAATAAATTTCATTCAATTGCCCTTTGTACGCTACTTAATTCCGCTTCTATTATTATTCCATCTAATGATAGAGACGGGTGCTTGCGACTTTCTAGTTCATTCGACTTGCTTGTTGGCTTACTTTGCTTGCCGTGGGTAGGCAGAACACTGATTTAAGGTCTGGCTGTCTTACGATCTGCTTGTATATATGGCTGTAGGCTTTATCTGCTGAGCGGAAGGAAATGAGAACATCTAGGCTATAGGATATCGTAAGACGTTTGAGACACAACCCATACCTTTGAATGAATAGCGCCCCTTATAAAGAAGTCGACTTGTCGTTTTTCCCCTCATTTCATTTTATATGAGGCGGGAGCTAACGCATCGTTTGTGAGAAAGCACTCGTCGTCTAACGAACGCGGCACGAGTGCGCTAGTAATTCGTTTAGAAACGCATCCGTTCAATGATTTCGAGGTAGTCGTAGCGGTAATGGTAGAATGGTGTGTCGATGTTCTTCGACTGCTTGTGCTTCTAGTTCTCCCCGTCCAATGGAAACACTAGCGTCGATGGCAGTGACAACAACAATGACGTAGTCGTCGATGGGATGCCAAATGAGGATTTCCGCTTCATCTTTCCTTCTTCTTGGACTTCTGCGTCTGTGTGTTTCTGTGCGTGCGACTTCAAAGACTGTCGTCGTCCACGCTGAGGAGAATGCAGGAGGACGTTTGCCGGTGGCGGGTGCGCAAAGAACAAATAGTCAAGCTTTTTTAACGGTATTTTTGCCCTCGACGACGCTGAAACCGTGCTGAAGCGTCCGATTTACTGCTTCGTCTGCGCCAATGCCGAGTTAGGCCCATTTTCGCAAGTGCTCTTTCTTTCTTTTCCTTTCTCTTGTTTTAGTCTCCCTTCCTGGAACCGCTGCCCCGACGCTGTTGCCACGCTGTCCAAGGGACCACCTGAAATTGGCTTTACAGTCAGCAGACGGACACGGAGGCATACAAACACACGAACGAGTCGCTGATGTTGAAGCTTCAAACCTCTTTTATGCGTTTTCCAACCGCTCAAGCTTGGTCCCTGTTCAACGGATCGCTGTCGCCTGCCTGCTTGTCATCGATGTAGTCCCATTATTCAGTTTGAAGCAGCATCAACTAGCAAGCGATCAACAAACATACAACGCCGTTTTGTAAATCAACTGGAAATCGGTAGTCTTCCACAGCGTTTTTCCATCCACAGAATTATCTTATCGATAGAACGTTATCCGCAAAAATGTCAATACAACGAAACACCACTGGCATAGTTAGCATCACAGAGAGTAGCCGACAATCGTAACTTACATTATAACCGATGCAGCCCATCCCGCTATTATTCACTAACGAAACAGCTAGCGCCGGTTTCCGATAATGGCAGCGGCCAGATAGCTCAAATCGACTTGGCAGTGGATACGGCTGCGTTGTTTGTCGGGGGTGGCAGGAAACCCCACGACAGAGCCAATGCAGACTTCGATGTCTGGTTGCCGTTCTTAAAATACAATATATCAAATACTAGCTGACGCGACAGTGCTATGGTCGCTTCAGTAGACGACGGGTGATTGCGATTCTTTTCACGAGCATTGTCACGAATAACAACTACGGCCATATCAGACAAGTCACGCTCACACAACAAAGGTCTCGTAGCAGAAATTGGTCTGCAGTGGCATCTAGCATGAGATTTTCCCTCGCAAGTCCCGTAAAGTGGCCCGTAGGATCATGGTTGTACCCCAGTAGCGGCGGAAAGGATCTATTAGCCACGACCCCGACGGCTTCTTCCTTCATCTCGTTTTTAGCCGGCCAATTCAACCGGAATCCGAACGAACTCTATTTGTATACTCACAGGTTTTCTGACGCAAGGATTCCGTTAGGGGCTTTGCGTTCCGTCCACCGGAGTACGCCGGACGAATGAAAAGTGACTACAATTTCTATGAACGACGCATTACTTACTGCCCGTTTGCACCCATGACAACAAGGCTCTGGCTTTCGAAGAGGCATCGAAAACAACGCGCTCTACATCGCCACTACGTGACCTCTATTTGGCAAACGTCAGTGGATAATTTGACTGCTCGGCACAGCCGGGCAGCGATAAATGCCATAGATGGCGTTGACGGTTACAGCAGCAACCGTTGTATACCGAATCATTTTAGAATGGAGGTGATGGCGACGCCAACAACCTGCCGCTGTTGCTGCCGCCTGATGGAACGATCCCTCCGAAACGCAGATGAACAACTTGAGAAAGGCGTTCAAGTACATGTTGCAACACTGCTCTCTGCTGCAGAATTACATTCTACTATGAAACAAATAAGTCCATCACTATTGCCAACAAGCAATGGCAAGGCAAAACATGGCACAGGGAGAACGGAAAGGAAACCAATGAGCCGTTGGCTAGACAGGTCTATTCAAAGATGAACCCGAGTGTTAACGAGAATCGATATCAACGAAACATATGGTCTCTACTGCCAAATTTGCCTTTGCAAACATTATCTTTCCTTTAGATCAAATTGATTTCTAAGCAGCAAAAAAAACCCTGACCACGAGCTGAATACTCTTGATCGGTTGAAATTATAAAACAATTAACGTTAATTTGCAAAGATTGCAGTTTCATTGAACGGTTCAGACGATTTACTCAGGCGATTCAGGTAAATAAAAATGAAATTTATGTATCAATCATGAGAACAATTGTCCAGCTGTTTTAATTTGACTTTGTGCTGCTTTGAACCGTATCGATATATAACCGTATATAATAATGGCTAAACTTAAAAGAGTAACATCTATAAGCTTCTTTGTCTCTTTCGTACATTTCAAGTGAAAATTCACGTCTGCAAGCAGAAACGTGCCGGAGCAGCTCCACATGTAGCATGCACAGGTCAGATCGATGGGATCCTTAATCACGTAGGACACGATGAGAATATTTAACACTAAACGTAAATAGGTGGCGTGTATGCGCGCGAGACACGCCGAAACCACAGTAAAAGTATAGCTAGTTCTGTAGGTATAGATATTTTTGTGTCCTTTGCGGTAAGCAATGAAAGAATATTTAATCCTTTTTAATTGATTAATTCGTTCCGTGTCCTGTCATTGCAGCATCGTTTTATGGAAGCAGTTTCGCGTCACTGTCCGTGTTGACAGAGGGGTTTGGAGGTGTGGACACGCGGTTTCGCTTCAAGACACGCAGCGAGGACGCACTGTTACTTCTCATCGCTGGGGGCTCAGACTACTGTACCGTTGAGCTTAAGAGGGGAGCTCTCAAGGTAATATCCGAGCGGCAAAGGGGGCCCACCAAAGCCGTTTGAGAGCTATGTGTCACTGAAATGAGCAATAGGCACAGATGCATGCAGATGTAACATGAAAGATCAAGCCATTTTGCCTAACATAAACCGACCGCATGACATAATCTTGGACCTCTTTACCAAATTGTAGGGATGCTGTAGGCGAGCGCGTCAACGAATCAATATTTTCACACAGAACTGCATAATGCCGTTTGTGAATTCGTTGACCACATTTATATTCAGGTATAGGTTGAAGTCGGGATGTATCAGGGTGGGCCTATATATATATTGAGAGCTATTTGGCCTATGCATCGTATTCACCCGCACCATATTCCCTGTCCGGCTGGAGTATAAAATGGCGGATTGCGCTGATCCTGCCTTTTTACTAACTCGGAACGAGCCCTAGCTCTTTTGCAGCTAGCTGTTGCATATGAAAACTAAATTTCTACTTAATGGTATTTTTACTTTTTTTTTTACTTCGCGTGAAGAGCTTGCTTTACTTGCCGTCCGCTGGTCAACTCAAAAAAAAAATTCGCTTCCTGTTACCCTTTGAGACGAGTTTTCTGCTGCTCTTAATGATAGAAGCGCGTGACTATGACGGACACGAAGCACGAAGTACTTAGATGTTCGATGTAGTGATTCTGCTAACTATATTAGTATTAATAAAATGCAAATGCGACCATAAACTGAAGTAGGTAATTCGAATGGCACGTATCCGACCTATCGTCTATATAATTCTGCTATGGATAAAAGAGATATGCAATAGAATTTACATTTTCAAGGGAGAAATCTGAAACAGGCCGCAGGCGACCGCTGTCTTCCGCTCTGTTAGATCCAGACGTTATTATTGCTGCTAAGCTCCACGGCTTTTGAACTTTTAACTTTGTCCGCGTACCAGATAACGCAGCCGTCGAATAATGAGCGCGTGACCTCGCAAATAAATTCGCAAATTTAATACCCCCCTTCTTCACCGCCGACCCTGTTTCTACTGCTTTTCGTCTTTTATGCGACGCTCCACGCGTTTCACTCGTCGCCGCCGCCGCCGCAACTCATTCTGTCATTCGCTGGTTTGACATTGAACGACGCTCTGCTTGTAGGGGGTGCGGGGCTTCAACTTATCCGCCCCTTAACCAAAGAGCCGCCATCGCTTACAGAAAAAATCATGTGAAGACAGAGCAAACGAGAGACAGCATGAGCTGGAAAAACGGCATTACCCCCCTCCCCCTCTCCCTCCCCCGGGCTTTCTGTAAGGAGCGTTTTTGGACAAGAATAAAGTTTGACGTTTGCGTTAACCGGCAGCCCCATTATCATTATTACATCGTAAGTATTTATAGTATTCAATGTTACTTATGGGTCTGTTCCGCAAACCTTGACCTTTCTCGGCAAGCCTTTCAGTGCGCTTTTGTGCTGCAAGAAATCGCGGAGGAAGGTGACGACAACTACTTAGATCGGCAATTGCTGTTTTCTTGAATTGGATTTTGCTTTTATTTTCCAGCTACGACTCCCTTAGGACATCTGTTTCTTGCTAATATAGCAAGCAGTGGCGTGCTGATAATAAAAGAAAAGGCTATTAGGTATTTTAGTCTCATTATCGCTGTGTAAGCTCGGTGGGAGAATAGCAGACAATGGGATACTGGCCACAGTAGCAAACAGACGATCTTGTTCCCCTCTTTTTTTCTTTTTAAAGAGATTTATCGTGAGATTTACGTGTCTGGGACGAGCTGGTTGACAATAGCGCAAAATGGTATCGGAGCTAAGACTTGTCCACGAAACAATCAAACACAACTAACTCGAGAACGGACCTTGACACGTTCAAAGCGAAATTGAGTTTGCGCCAACGTGTCATTACAGATGACGAGATGCTGATGCATGGGTATAACGTGGAAGGAAGTGCACAATCGTTTAAGTGTTATTTTTAAAATAAACCCACACCGAAGAAAGCAACAAGATCGAGGTGAGACAGCTTTCCTTCATTCAGTTTAGTTGGTGAAGCCTTTTCCGAGCTAAAATTTGATAGCTGCGCCACCTCAGCTCCTACATTGATCAGATTTAACTTCAGTTAGATCGTACGTTTTTCTCTTCTCAAAGGTTAAATGGTACCTGAAACAAATCAGCCTGACGAGCGAGAATATTTGAGAAGAAATAAAAGCAGGACTGAGGCTTATTTTTGCGATTGAATTCAAAAACTATTATCAGGCCTGCAAATTCGATATATGCAGTTGACTGAGAGCCGAGCGCTCCATTGTTTTGCATTCAGTAGCACAGCATCGGAGCTAAGCAACGATGAACTTCAAAATGGTCGTCTCAATAAGCTTGACAGTAGAAATGTTGTATTTACTTGCGAGCTACACGAGATGCACGTTAGCAGAAATAATCATCTCTGACTTCACAGTTGTATAAGCGTGAGGCCTTATTATACGGCATCCACTTAATTGCAGATAAAACGAAGCAAAATTAAAGCAAAGGCGTAAAACAATGAGGAAGCGCCATTTCATTCTCTGCGACTTTATTGAATACGATTAAAGGACCCTTGTCGTTTGCGAGGATTTTCACTTGAAACTTTGGTTGCCGTCAAGCCCGCTGGGCCGCTTTTTAAGTGCTGGCCGTAGTGTCTGATTAGACATCGGCTAATTTTGCACAAACGACGGCTATGGCAATCCCCGGCGCCAAAGACTCGTAGCTTAAGCTTTAGAGTACGGTGTACAGCGGAGTACGGCTGAGAGACACGACCTTACTCTTAAATAAGCAGGTACATGTACATGTACTTGGTGCGGATCAGAATTATTTTATACGACGCTGTACAGGCCAAAAGACGTTGTCGACGGATGTTTTGCAGGTATTGCAGTGGAGTTTGGTGAGCCCAGCCTTCCTATATGGGCTTGAATTAGCGGGTTAAATAGCAAGGCGGAAACGGAGGAAACTAGAGTGGTGAAAGGGTGTAAGGTAGAATCATGCAGAAACTAGAGTCCAGGTTCGAAGTGGCAGCAAACTAAAATGGCCATATCGCTCAGATCGCGTGCGTTGTTTAGTGAAAATGTGAAGCGTTAGACCCCAGAGTGGATCGCTCCGGGGTCTAACGCTTCAGCAAGGACTAGGCACGCTGAAAAATAGGGCACAGTGCAAACGGTAAGAGCCGTTCGTAATTGAAGAGGCCTCAAGGTAGCATTGTCCCTGAATTTTAATGATATAGGCTAGCTGAAAAAACATGCATGATCTAGATTATGATATTCGCTCGACAAAAGAATGGAAGCCTAATTGGGACCAGAGAGCTCACTTTGCAACCTATTTTGATGATTCTAATGCTTACTTTTCATCGACAGAACGTATCTGATTTTAAACGTGCGTTTTCCTTACACCTACGACGCAAAGAAAAGAAAAACAGTTAATGTCATTGCATTTTAGTCGGATACACGCTTGTAGGGTAGATAGGACTAATTGTATCGAGTACCTTCAATGTCTCGCGTAGCAACAAGGATCCTATGACCACATTTAGACTAAGTGTTCATTTAGCGATATATGTTTACATTGGAAACGTCAGTTAGTTACTTATTCATGGCATTTTCGCAAGATGAGGCAAAATTGTTCGAGTATGGTTTCATCAGGAATTGCTATTTTTGTTTGTTATTGGTAAGAATAAAGGCACTTAGGCTAAACTTTGTTCCTTAGTGGTTACAGCTACGTAGTCCTGTTGGTCTTAGTCATAAATGCTTGCCCTATTCATTTTAGACATGATCATAAGATAGCTACACACAAACTTCTGTTAACGAAAAATATGATGTCGTGTGATATTACGTAGGTCAGTGACGATGGTAACGTATACATCGCTCGGTTACCTTTACCATATTGGGAGGAACGTCTCATAGGTTTCGCAGACGGATTTCTGACCCAAAGTTCAGTTAACCGAACAATGGAACATCTCGCAACAACTTTCACAGTTCACAGGATCGATTGCCCAATGAGTCATTTCGTTTAACATTGGCTCATTGTATGGCTACCAGGAGAAACGTAGTAGTGGTCTCGTTGCTGCTAAAACAGCCTTAAGTCTCTTTTCAATCGTCTTCCTTAAGTATCCTTTTAATGGCATAGCACCCTTGTTTTTTTTTGTTATTAGCATATCTTAAAAAAAGTGTACGGGAATGCCTCACCGCTCAGCCGTCTCTCATCGGTCTCTCATTGTTTTTCGGAGCAAATGGTAAAACTTCCATGCCGCTATGTTCCTCTCGCCGTTTTTACTCCCCATTGCATAGCCCTCGAGGATACTCTTACAGTTCGTCATTCTCCTCCTTTCTTTCGTCACCGGGTGTCATATTGCTTTATTTGAGCAGCTTGGCTCCTTTTCATGAGCCTTTTTCGTCGATGCCGCCATCATCGACATCATGAACCTTTCTTGCCCTTTCGAACCATATGTAGCACGCCGCTAGCAGCTCTGTAATGATATAGCTGCAACGGCAGCAGCGGCCCTCCACGTTGTTCGTTGGCTCGTGTGACGCGTCGCCACCGCGAAACCGCACTGCTGCCTCAGCGGGCGATCGAGAATTTGGAGCAGGCCGTGAGAAGTGCGAAGAAAAACGCCCCTTGAGCTGCCGCCTGGTGGGGTGGATGGATGTCCCGTTGAGTGATCTCCATTATCGCATTAACGTTTTTCAATACTAACAAATCTGAGAGTGAGCGGCAAACGTGGCAGCAGAGGTGGTGAACGGATGCTCTAACAGTGGAATGGCGTTAGTGGTGATTCTGCCGCTATTGCCGTGGCCAGCAGAAATAGCAGTTCTTCAACGGAAAAACGCAAATACAGTTGGAATAGGGTAAACGCGCTCTGTTGCTCTGCGTAGTTAACGAATGGGAGAGATGCAGTCAAAGAGCCTACGACGAAGGCAGATTGACGAGGACCGCCTAGTTGCGTATGTAGCTAAGTAGCAGAAGAAAGATAAAAGAAAAAAAGTCTACGTATAAACTAAAGCGACCTTAATGAGGGATGCGAC